ACGCGTCGAGTGCTCCCCAGAACCTATGGAGAGACATGGCTTAACTGGGAGGGCGGCTCAATGCGTCGAGTGCTCCCCAGAACCCACGGAGAGCAAACATCTGTAATGCCAGCACTCATTCCATGAGATGGGAGGCAAAGACATGAGAGCCTCTGCAAGCTCACAGGATAGCTAGTGTGGACTACACAGCAGAGTGGCACACCCCGAGACCCTGTCTCAAACACAGCAGAAGGCAAGCAACAAGAGCTGAGGGTGTCCCCCGACCTTCCCATGTACCCCAAGGTCCATGCATATCCCCCCACCCCAAGAAACGGAACAGATATTTTTGTGTTATGTGTCTAAAGAAACTGCTTAACAATGAATTGACTTGTATAAGAAATTTCCCTTTCGGCATCCGTACTCATTAGCTTGTCTCCTTACCAGCATCTTCGTTTCATTCAGAGAAACAACGCAGAGCAGATCTTAAAGTGTTTTATCTGCTCGCCTTTTCTCATCTTTCTAGTCCTTGTCTACTCCTTTTCTAAGTGTCAACTTCCTGGGCCACAGATTGAATTATGCCTTTCCCCAAACTCTACGTTGAAGGCCTGCCTTCCAGCATGACGATTATATGAAGTGAGCATGATGGGAATTGGGCTTGGATGAGGTTATGAGACTAGGGCCCTTGTCATAGATATTATTGCCCTTGACAACAGACACCGGTAGCTGGAGAATGGATGGTTCATCCAGAAGACCAGGGTTCAATTCCCACCACCTACATGGCAGTTGAGAGAATGGATGGTTCTTCCAGAAGACCAGGGTTCAATTCCCACCACCTACATGGCAGCTCACAATGATTTGCAACGGTAGTCCCAGGGGACGTGACACCCTCTTCTTGCCTCTGCAGGGACTGCATGCACATGGTACACAGACACACATGCAGGTAAAACACCAATATACATAAAATTTAAAAATAAAAATGTTTTTTGGGTATGAATGCACATACCTGTAATCCCAGAATTTTGGAGGCTGAGGCAGGAGGATCATGTGTTTTAGTTCAGCCTGAGCTATCTAAGACCCTGTGTCAAAGACAAAGGAGAAGAGATTCTATTGAACTTACAGTCTCTCACCCCACCATAGAGACATAGAAGGAGGCCATCTACAATCCAAGAAAGTTTTACTAGAGCCCAACCATCATGACCTAGAATATCCCACCTCTGGAACTATGAGAAGCAATGGCCATTGCCTGAGACACCCAGTGTGTGATAATTCGTTAAAGCATCTGAGGTCCACTGTATCTTTCCATCTCTCTTTCTCTTCCACCTTCTCTCTCTGCTGTCCTCTTTCAGAGCAAGAATACAGATGTGCTATCTAATGTCACCTAGGGAAGGCCTCCCATTGCAGGATGTGCTATCTAATGTCACCTAGGGAAGGCCTCCCATTGCAGGATGTGCTATCTGATGTCACCTAGGGAAGGCCTCCCATTGCAGTAGTTTGTCCCTTTGTCGTTGGAAGCAGGCGACCAAGGTACTCATCGATAATGCTGCATACTCCGGTTCTCTTCAGACTGTCCAAACCTTTCACTGTCTCTCCTTTCACTTATCTTAGAAAGAAAGAAGGGGGTGGGGGAGAAGGAGGAAAGAAAAGAATGAGAGAGACCCATGTGCCTTCTGGAGCGGTACTGCACTCTGGCTTTCATTTCACATGTCAGTTTAAAGACAAGGTGGGGATAGAAAAATTTGATAGAGGGGTCAAAGTGGAAAGGGGTAGCAGCCAAACACATCCAAGGGAAGAGCTCCGGAGACACCTTCTCCACCCAGGCTGCCAAGCTTGGCTTCTCCACCCTGCAGTAGCCTGTACCCACTCACCTCACCTTGCTGTGGATTTTCTTTTCCTTTTCTTTCTTTTTTTTTGAGACAGGGTTTCTCTGTATAGTTTTTGGTGCCTGTCCTGGATCTTGCTCTGTAGATCAGGCTGGCCTCGAACTCACAGAGATCTGCCTGCCTCTGCCTCCTGAGTGCTGGGATTAAAGGCCTGTGCCACTGCCACCCTGCTGCAGATTTTCATCTCATTCTTTCCACAACTGTTGAACCTTACTTCAGCCCATAAGAACCCATTCCAAATCTGCATTTCCATGCATCCACCCCCAGAGGACATAGAAAAATGATCCATCGAGAGTGACCAATCCTCCCTCCCAAATAACACCTGTGAGAACTGAGTAGATAAATACAGTCTACAAGTTAGGCCGCCACCTGGATCTCACCGTAGGACATGCCCGCCCGGCACTACTCAACAGCAATATAAGAGGTTCACAAACTCAAGCCATGTGATTCAAACTTCCTAGTAGCTACACTTTTAAAGTTAGAACACGTGAATGCAATAAATTTCAATAGCATGTTTTTTTCTGATGCAAGATAGCCAAAATATTGCTACTTCAATAATAATCAACAAAAATTAATGAGACAGTTCACGTTTTTCCAAGCTAAGTGTTCCAAAATTAATGCCTATGTCACAATGATAGCATATCTCAACTCAGAATAGCCACGTCCAGTTGCTTATTGGTCATTTGTAGTTACGGTAGCTACCAGCATAGCTCTGGCCAGATATAAAAGGTAGGGCCCTGTATGTCAGCAGCTAGGAAAAGCCCTTGCTGTATGGGCAGCTTCTACTGGGCTGGAGGGCATATGACTTCCATAGAGACAATGAACCAAGTAATTCTTTAAACTGTAATACTTTTAAACTATTCTTTAAAAAATATACATTATTTTATTTTTTTGTCTCTGTGTGTCTGTGTGTCTGTCTGTCTGTCTGTGTAAATCTATCTTGTATGTGTTCCAGTGCCCGTGGAGGCCGGAAGAGGGTATCAGATCCCCCAGTAACTGGAGTTGCAAGAGGATTTTAGCCTCCAGGAAGGGATGCTGATGAGCAGTGTGTGCTCTGGACCACTGAGTGTCTCTCCAGCTCCTTTTGTTGCTCTTTAACACAAGGGAGATGAACAAGTCATCACACCCTCCAATACGAACATCAGGATTTCAAATAATGAGAACTAAAGTTTCCCGGACAGTCTTTAAAATTTAGTAATTTGCCAATAATAGTTTCTAAGATTAGAGAATGGCTTGGCATCTCCTTGTCACTTTGTGACCCACAAGGATGCTTCACATCGTGCCTTAGGTGCTCAAGCTTCTGCCAGAGACCCTTCAGGGAAGTGCTAATGGCCACCACATTTCACTCACTAATGAATTCGGGTGATTCTTTACTTGAACACAGTTACACACACATACACACATACACACATGCACACACACAGAGAAAGAGAGAGAGAGAGAGAGAGAGAGAGAGAGAGAGAGAGAGAGAGAATAAGAATAGCAGGTATGGGTCTACAGCAGTAGTAGGTAGGTGTGTGTGTGTGTGTGTGTGTGTGTGTGTGTGTGTGTGTGTGTGTGTGTGAAGAGTCTCACTCTATATCCCTAAGTGGTCTAGAACTCATGGCAATGCTCCTACCTTATCCCCCTGAGTTCTAGAAATAAAGGCATGAGCCCTCACACAGGCATGTATAGAAAGCCTGTTTATCCATAGCTGGCAATAGTGTATCAGATGCAGTCCTTGGGCTTTTCTTCACTGGGGTTGGAGAAAACAATGGCTTTCAGTTATATCAGATCAACCATCGAAGCCATGTACTGGGATGTTATTGGCTCCATTACCCCTAGACTGATGTCCAAGCCCGTGACATCTCTTACCATTTATATCTATGTCTGGCTTTTCCATAGCTCAGAGAAATTTGATGATGAAAATTTTAAGTAAACAGGATGGCACTGTGGGAGTCCAGCTCCTATCTTTCCCACCTTTTCTGGGGTTCTTAGGAGGAGGAGAGAGGTCTAAGAAAATATTAGATAGAGAGACCTAGTTGACGAGAAGAAAGACAGAAACACAGGATAACTTCAGGAGGGCCTGGATCACTACCCAACGGCCTTTCCCATTTATTCAAAAGGGCTTTTTATAACAATGCCAAGGGGTGGGGTAAAAGACCTCCTCGCTAGATCAAAACACACCACAAGTGTAGACCTTTCCAAACACCTGGCAACCACGCCCATGGTCAAATCATCCCCTTATGCAGGCCTGCTGGGTAAAGCAAGCTCAGATTCTCTGACCCTGAGAAAGTTCTCACTAGATAGCCTCTGTGGGCTCCCACATGGTACTTCTGAGGTCTAATAAGATGGTGTTTACTTTACAGACGCCACATTTTTTATGGGTAGTGAGATTCATTTTCCAGGACTATTGGGGCCAGTGATGCATCCTCCATCTCCATCTCCTTGTTGGTTCCCCGTTTCCCTTCTTCTATTCTTCATCCTTAGTTCAGAGATTCACCAAGGATCATGATACTGAATAAATTTTGATGTCCTAGAGGATGCTTAATTTGATTTTAAAATACCTAAACGAACTAAACCTCTGTGATGGATCCCATGCAAGCAATTCCCTGCCTGGGCTCAAATTCTACTCCTGGCAATTCTGATGCTTGGACTAGGAAGTTAGTCTTTCTATAATATATTACCATCTCCCCCAAAAGGAGCAAGGGCAAGATGTGTTGTTGTTTTTCAGACACATAAACATCGAATTTGAAGTGTGTTTTCCTTTATCCCAGTCATTCCTCTTGTGAATGATTCTTTGGGGCAAGGAAAAGATGAAGCCTGGCATGGATGTTGTTGGGATTTGTCTTTCAAGGTCGGCTCATTCCCACAGTTAATTGAAAGTTAAATGCATATAAAAAAAAATAAAATTAGAAGTTGGCAAGGACTGACTCTGGTCCCTCTCCAGAGACTTCCAAGTTCTTCTTTCACGAGCACCCTGAGCCCTTCCCCTCACGGGATCTAAATTCTGTTCTCAGTGTGTCTAACCGGATGATGTAACATCTGGGCCGCCTCTGGCGAACGTGAGAAATGAAGTGCTTTTCATCTTCCCTCTCTCTGAGCTTTGGGAACTCCCATGAAAATGACTCTCCTCTTGTGTTTGTTCTTTGCCTGCTTTAGCGTCAAACTCCGTGGAAGTGCCCTATGGAGGTCTCCCCCCTGTGGAAGAGGGTGACAGAAAGATTAGCCTCATTATGGAGTTATCCACCCAGCTTTCCCTACAAACTGAGAAGATCACTCAGCTCGAAGAAGTTTTAGCAGAAAAGGAACGGCAGATTGAGGTGCTGGCAGCCACACGCACTAGCCAACTGTTCCAAGCGGAAGCGAACCTTACAGAAGATTTACAAGAAGTCCCCACTGTATGTGACGATAGGAGTGTTCCCGTGGCCTCGAAGGAGGAGTTGTAGATTTCCTATATGATAATAATTAAAGTTTAGTGTCATCAAGGTGGAGTCCAAAATCTAAACAGCCAGTGAAGTTCGAGTTTACAAGTTTGAGTATCACCTACAGTGTTCGTTCTGGGAGAAATCCGTAGAAAGGGGGGCATTCAGAAGCAGACCCTGAAAGTGTCTGCCACTCAGCAGTGGCCACCGAGCCACACAGCAGTAGAAGGCTGTGTCTTTAGACACTCCTGGTTAACAGTGGGTGAGGGAAGAACACAAAACCAGGCAGCTTGCTACCATCCTCTCACGAGGATGCTACACTTTGAAGGAAGGATGCTAGGTGTCCCTTGGTGCAGCGCTGTTGGGCAGTGGAAGCTGGGTTGGAGGGCCTGCTTCACGTCGGGGAAGGATAGAGCACAGAAGAGCGAAATCATTGCCCAGCGAGTAAATAGCCATGAGGTCTGTCCTTTCATGTCCTCTCAAGTTTATTTCTTTATGGCCTGAATTTTACGAGCATTAGCGAAGGTAGAAACAAAATAATGCTGAAGCAATTTTCAAAAATGGATCAGAGCTGTGGTCCTTTGGGAAAAGGTTCTGGACAGTATCTCCCTGGGAAAAGACACAACACTGATTTTTTTTATCCCCCCCCCCCTTAGGAGAAAAGAAAAATACACACATCTGTTAGGACGACCACATCGCTGTGAGCACTGTGAAATAATGGCAGAGAAAACAGCATCCTTGGCACAGGGGGGCACCCTGTAATTAATGGACTACAAGGAGTCCTGTTATGTCCCCTTCCCACTCAAATGATCCATGTCCTACCCAAAGGGCGCTAATGAGGAGATTTCAGAACTTAACTCTCCTAGTGTACCTCATGATAAGCAGTATGGGTGGACTTCTGAGTGTGGCTGTATCGCTACAAGTCAGTCCAATGCATCCAGTCTAACAACTAGGCATCAGAATCCTGTCCGCTGAGCACAGCACTAGACGTCAGAAACAGGGCAAACCTAAGAATCAGCTTGGATAAGCAAGGTGCTCATAGACACAGAAAGGTCTCCTTAACTGTGGTGATTTTACAGATGGAGGGGCAGAGAGGACATGAGGGAGTCCGGGGACAGGGAGGCTGCCTGCTTGCTGGAAAAGAGGGCCTCACATTTGATGAGTGGTCGGCATGACCGCATAGGCCTGGCCTCCAGGGTTGGACCTGATATACACGTTATAATAAGTCATGGATTTCCTGGTGAGTATAGCCCAGGTAGACAACTTCAGGCAGGCTTCAAACTCTGATTTTATACTTTTACTCCCCAATTCATGGACAAACGCTCCTTGCAAGCTGAGATGGGACCAGTGCTATTAAAAGAGCGCATGATCTGATTGTATGTCCCGACCACCTACAAGACAATTTCTAAACCAGAGTGCCTGCCCTGCCTTTCCCTTTTTCTTTTCCTTACCCCTTTCCTCTCCTCTTTCCCTTCCATTCTCTTTTCCTGTATCTGTGAAGGAGCTCATGGAGCTTTGTACAGGCATATGACGGCTTTGAGATGCTAGATAGTCATCAAAAGAAAAATACAAAATAAGTTTTTAAAAAACTGTCCCACCAGTAATTTAGGTTTTCATGTTGAGCTATAATCCTCCTGTATTTGAACATAACCTCAGCTTCATATATAATGGCTACGTGTGTGTGTGTGTGTGTGTGTGTGTGTGTGTGTGTGTGTGTGTGTGTTTGTGTCTGTGTCTGTGTGTGTTCGTGTCTGTGTGTGTGTGTGTGTGTGTGTGTGTATGTGTGTGTCTGTGTGTCTGTATCTGTGTGTCTGCGCCTGTGTTTAGTGTCAGAGATGAGACCAACTCAAAACTTACTGGTCATGAGTACAGATCCCAAAAAGCAGCTCAAAGCTTAGATGGTCTTTTAATAAAAAACACAAAGCCGAATATCAGGGTGAAAGCTGAAAGATCAGAGAAGCAGAACAGCCAGTCACTAGTTCTTACCTCTACAAAATCCTCAGCCTAAAGAGAGAGAGAATTCCTGTTTCCTCACGCCTTATATACCTTTCTTTGCCCTACCATATTATTTCCTCGGATTAAAGGCATGTGCACTTCCCAAGCAAAGGCATGAGATCTCAAGGGCTGGAATGAAAGGTGTGTGCCACCACTGCCTGACCTCTATGTCTAATCTAGTGGCTGGCTCTGATCCTCAGGCAAGTTTGTTAGGGTACATAGCATATCACCACACAAAGCACTTCTCTACCTTTTCTGAGGTGCCTACATCAGCCCTACAGAATCAGCTTCAGACATCCCTTCTCTCTGGAACCTTCTCATCACCCTATGCAGCACGATCGCCTTGGTTTGGCTTCATGATCTTTAACACCAGCTAAATATGCCAGCTGTGGCCATAAGGTTGTGCCCATTGGCCCTGACACAACAGTGGTGCTGAGAGTTGGCGTCTCCTCACTGTGTGTTTATGAGAGAAAGCTTCAGATCTTTACCTTCTGAAAAGAGTGGAGTATTCCTCAAGACAAGCCATCGACTTCTCATTTTGATATACTAACGCGATAACCAAGGTTCTCCCCTCTCTATTTTATGAAAGATTGCCTTGAGCCCCTAGGATACTGAGGGGGATAAGGAAGGAAGAGAGAACAAGACAGGAAGAAAATCCCACCACAACCCACATGGGCCTGTGTTAACTTCTACATCAACTTCCTGGTTAGTAGTCAGACAAGCCCCCACATGAAAGCAGCCGCACCGTGGAGATAAGTAACAGGAACTGCAGACCTGCAATTAATGATTAATTGAGTCTGTCACCTCTACAGATCCACACACGCCAGCCCTTCGAGTTTAGCATCAAGGGTCACATTAGTCTGAAAAGCCATCTTTATAAGAAGTTGATCTTGATTCAGGTCTGGGTCACCTTCAAATCTGAAGGTGGGAGGGCATTTGGTCTAAACATAAATAGGCTAATCTGTGCTGATGTGACATTTTGGTAACAAGAATTCTTTCAATACCCGGGACGTATAGAGCAGGGGAGACAATGGCCTCTGAGCAGTTTCTAAGAGAAAAATTCTCATTCCCAGCTGAATCCCTGGAAGCTTGGGGGCTAGCAATCCTAGTTTTTAAAGCAGTAGGAAAAATAAGCAGCAGCAACAACAAACAAACAAACAAACAAAGAGATGTTGCCACAAAAAAGGTAGAAAGCTGAGACCAATGCCCAAGGGTGTCCTGTGACCTCTACAGGCATGTTATGGCACACCCCTGCCCACACTCACACAGAGGATTACAAACACATCGTACACACTTTATATATACAAAGTAACCATCAACATAACAAAATTCAGAGAATAAAATATTTCATGAATAATTAAAGCCATTTTCTAATACTTTAAAAACATTTCTAGAAATACGCAGTATTAATTAATCTTTTCATTAATCAGGAGCTTCCCCCCCCCGAAAGTTAAATTGAATAAGGAGATATATAGTCAATTTAAAGAAATGTTAGAATTAACAATCATTTCATTTTATTATTATAGTCAAATGCTCCCAAACACATTCATTGCAAGATGAAATTGCTTTAAAGTACTAGACTTTAAAAATGAGCAGAAATCAAGTCATTGGCCCAAAAATACAAATGAGGATTTATTTTGATAACTGCAAAGAAGCCACTATTTTTAAAAGTCTGTCTAAATGCATTTCTGGGAAAGAAGAAATTCAACCAAATTATAATTATCTGCTACACTGTGCTTTTTTCCCCAATCCATTTTCTTCTACATTATGATAATATAAAGAATTCTTCCTTTAGCAAAATGAATAGAGAAATGTGGGCAAATTCTGTGAGCTTAAGTCAAAATACTATTTACTTGGCAATTAACAAGTGTAAGGACAGTTGGGCAGTGGGTGGCACAAGCTTTTAATCCCAGCACTTGGGAGGCAGAGGCAGGCAGATCTCTGTGAGTTCAAGACCAGCCTGGTCTAGAAAGAGAGTTCCAGCACAGTCAGAGCTGTTACACAGAGAAACTCTGTCTTGAACAACCAACCAACCAAACAACAACAACAGTAGTAAAATACAATCAAGTGTAAGGATGGCAAGGATGAAACCATCCCCCAAATATTTTCTTTTATTTATGTGGGGAGCAGATGAAGCGCTGAGTGAATGGATATTGTTGACATAAGCACAGCCATGTCGAGGACCCCAGTGGCTCTGATCCATGGGAACAGCAAGGCCTTCCCCAGGACAGGCTCAGAAGAGAGCAAAGCCTTATCCTGGTCCCTGGTCCAAGCACTGTATGGGAAGTATCAACAAAAGCTTCTTCCTCCAGGTTGACTGCTGCCTGAGACTGCTCCCCTACGGAGACCCCCTCTACTGAGATGAGCTCACCTGCCTCCTACCTCAGCTGTGAATAGTGTGCTGAGAGATCTGGTTCTGGCTGCTGCTGCATAGCCATCAGAGCACATGGCCCACCCAACCCCCACATCTTCATTCCCTGTCATCTCAGAAAAAGGTCAATCTCAAAGCCATGCAGGTCCTAGCAATTTTATTATTTTGTTTTTATTCCATGAATATGGATATTTTGTCTGCATGTGTGGCTGTGTATCTTGTGTGCCCACTATCCGCAGAAGCCAGAGGAGGGCATCAGATCCCCTGGAACTGGAGTTACAGACAGATGTGAACCACCAGGTAGGTGCTGGGAATCAAACTCGGGTCCTCTGGAAGAGCAACCAGTTCTCTTAACCACTGAGCTATTTTTCTAGTGCCCACACCAAGTACTTAAAAAAAAAATAAAATAAAGATTTATTTTTATCTTGAATTATATGTATATGTGTGTGGTCTGTGTGTGGGTATACGTCTGAAGGTATCTCAGACTCCAAAGGAAGATATCAGGTCCCCTGGACCTAGAGTTACAGGAGGCTGTAAGCTGCCTGATGTGGGTGCTAGGAACAGAGCTGGGGTCCTCTAAAAGAGCAGAGTGCATTCTTAAACATTGACGCATCTCTCCAGTCCTTAAATTGCTTTTTCGAAGACTTGGAAAACCAATGTTTACGATTCAAAAGGTCTGATCATACTGACTTGGAATTTGAAAAAAGAACTGGAGCAAAGCCCAATGATAAAACTGTAGACTTAGCATGTGTGAGTCCTTGAGTTCAAATTGTAGTAGGAAGGGAGAGAGGGAGGAATGGAGAGAGGGAGGGGAGAGGAAGAAGGGAGGAGAGGAAAAGGAAGGGAGGGAGGGAGGGAGGGAGGGAAAGAAAACCAGTCAAAACTACAAAGAATAAATAATTCTTACAACAAAAATTGTGGTTAAGGTTTCCCAGACACAGGAGAGCATTCCCGTTAATAGAGGAGAACTGAGTTCAAGTAGGAAATGATCTTTCTAAAATAAAAGGATGTGTGTGCTAGGACAAAGTTCACAGCAGAAAAGAGGACGAGTCACAGAGTTTCCCACACCTAATGAAATTATGGTTTTAGGGTAAAACGAAACAGAACAAAACAAAAATGTGCTGGTTTTCAGATCCCCAGGGAACACATCTCCAAAGCCAGATACTCAATACACATCTCATAGCCGAGCCTTTGGTGGGAGGGCCTGAGTTGTCTGACCAGCTCCATTCTGAGCATGTACATAAGGTTTTTGTTTGGTTGCTGTTGTTTGTTTGTTTATTTAGCAAAGACTGACCCTTAACATTCCGCACATTCAGCGCCAATAATATCGAGTCCTGTTCTTGAATAGAAAACCACATAACCTGTTCCGATAACATGTTTTTTATGTATAGAGAGAGTTACTATGTAGCTCAGGCTGGACTCCAATTTACGGTTCTCTTGTCTCAGCCTCCCCACTGTTGGGTTACAGATTTGTTATCCGGTGTCAGTTTTTTTTCATAGAATGGAGCTGTCCTAACAATGATAGGAGCCCAGTGAGGAAAAGAACAACCTACCACCAGCTGTTTGCTCTATGTGGGTTGGGCTAGCAAGCTACTGCTCCGATCCAAACGCTGATGCTACCTCAGCCTTCCAGTGGCATGCTTTGTAAAAAGGATGCCCCATGCCTAGTTGCTGCTGAAAACAATAAGTAAATAAAAAGTGACATCAGCAGAAGCTCATGGCCTTGTCAGGGACCTGCATTGAGAACAATGAACTGACTGTAAAAGTGTAATTGATATTTTCACAGTACTTTACAATGAATGGCAATATTTTCACATTGAATTGTTTTGTTCTGACACATTTATTCTTACAAAAAACGGTTTCAGTGAGATAACAAATCCTAAACTTATTACTAGAAAATGCCACACAGGACCAAGACACACAGCCCTGGGCAATTACACCTTTCATCACTCATCCCACCCCCACCCCCACGCCACCCCTGCGCAGTTCTATCTCAGAGATCTTCCTTGTCTTTCTTCTCTCTCAAGTCAATCTCTATTCCACTTTTAGGAAAAGAATTTTCCACAGGTACCTTCTTTATCAAACTTGATCCACAACAATGGTTTAAAGACAAAAAGCTGCCCACAACCAGTTGATCAACTTGTTTGGTTCAGTGACGAAAATGTTTGGGGGTTGCAGAGTTTAGCTAAGAGGTAGAGTGCTTGCCTAGGATGTATGAAGCCCCTAGACTCAGTGGATCCTAACACAAGAAAGGAGAATGGAAAGGAGGGAGGGAGGGAGGGAGGGAGGGAGAGAAAGATTGGCTTCTGTTTATTCATTGGGCTTTGTTTTGTTCTAAAATAAATATTCCTATGAAGAGTAAATGCAGCACTCTACAGTTTACACAGGGTCCCACCACCCTCTATTGTCTTAGCCACGCCTGCTTAAGACAGTTGTCTTACCTGCCTGGCCCTGTAAGTAAATGGTTCTGTCACCCCTGATGAAATCCAGTTGTATAGTGTGTTGTAAATTGGTACTGTCATAAATTTCAGTGTCTTGAGCTTTTGACTCATGATTGAGTTATATACATATAAACTCAATATATATTCAAAATGAGTAAATTATGTGTCAGACTCAAGGTTAATGCACATCCCAAACTTATGACAGGGAAAGAACAGACATAGAGGAAAATCCCTGACCAAGAATCCATTGCGTCTTCTTCATCCACAAACGACAGCAACTGAGTCTTCCTGAATGCTTGGGCTCATGGAGTGCAATTCTGCCTGTGAATGCTATTTGCCCCACATGACAGACACAGGTAAGTAGGTGAGTGAACATCACCAGGCCCGGTATTTTCTGAAGGCAAGAAGAAGCCTCCCTCACCTACAGACCTCCATTCTCACTTACACAAGCATAATGGAGGGGTGATACTTACCTTCAACCTGGATGGAAATGGAAGGAGGGATGCAGCATATCAAAAAGCGAAGGAATAATACATTTTGCCTCCACTGGTTCTGATGACTGTGAGTTAATGTATTTCCCAAGAAAACTGTCAAACTACAGCCTTGGGCCAAATCTGGGTGCTACTGGATTTTGCAAGACCTGAGAGTTTTGAATGTTCTGCATGTTTTTTTGTTTGTTTTGGGGGGAGGGGGTTTCGAGACAGGGTTTCTCTGTGTAGCTTTGCGCCTTTTCCTGGAACTCACTTGGTAGCCCAGGCTGACCTCGAACTCACAGAGATCCACCTGGCTCTGCCTCCCAAGTGCTGGGATTAAAGGCGTGCGCCACCACTGCCCGGCCTGCATGTTTTAAATGATCTTATTCTAAACAGAGCAGAGTTTGTGACACCAAGTTACATAAAATTCAACACTTACTGTTTATGAATCATGTTATTGGAATACAGTAATTCTCATTTGATTAGACAATAAGCAAACCTAAATTACTTGCTATCTGGCAGAAAAAGCTTGCTGACCCCTGGCCTAGAGCAATGAGATGAACCGCTCAGTTAAGTGGACAGTGTGTTCAGAAGCAGGGCCGAGGCTTACTTTTTTATTACAGGATGGGTATACCTTATATTCAGAATACAAACCTTTCTATACATATTTATTCTCAACAAACATCATAAAAAAATATATGACCAAGAGTCCCACTGAACTTTGGTTAAAATAAGTAAATAAATATTAAAAAAATAAGCTTAGCCATCTTTTACTATTCTGTATCAAAAATCTTTCCTTGTGGATTATTGATACATCCTTCTCTCTGTGTTCCGTTCTACTCCTACATTAAGAGGTGGTTTGCCTTGGCCTCCTATGCGCAGGACTCTGTGGCAGAGGGAAATGAGACGCTAATCCAGAGACTCTACTCCAGGTCCTTATTCTAAAGCCCAAGTCAGTTAGGAAAAAGGAAGACTGAAAACATACCTCTGAGAGGAACATGAGGAGACAGGGGTTCGTTTCCTCTAGCCATTCCTGCATCTTGTCATGGCTATACGATGCCAAAGGAGCTGAGAGGGGCTGGCTCTATGGGATACCATATGGGGCAGATTCTAAGGCCCTGGACATAGCCCCTGCTGAAGTTGCATACCCTGGTGTGGCTTGGATGTGGCCAGCAGCAGATCTTACAGGACCACAATGCCTAGGAGGGCAGAGGATTGAGTATCATTATATGACAGAGAAGGTATTCAGAACCCTGGTATGAGGCCAGGCAGTGGAAGACCCTGGATGACTTGTTGAAGTTCCTGCCCCCATGGTAGGACTAAGCTCAGGATCAATACTCAGAAACCTTTAAGGTCAAAAGGAATCCACACAGGTTTGACTTTTTCCTCACTGAAATCTACATGAACTGTACTGTTAACACTCTTCCATTCAAAATGCAGCTTGAACGGACACCACACCTTTATCTAAACATTTTTGTAGACTCCATCCTTCCATTGAGTTCTGCTTCACAAGAAGTTTCTGGAAACCCAGTGAGACATCATGCTTTATTTCACAAACCCACCATATTGGTGAGTCAAGACCTCAGCTGGCCAGTCTCACTTTGAACCCTGCAGCTTAGAGAACGGCCATGTTATGACTGCACACCTTCCTGTCCATCTCTGTGGACTCACGCTGTAACACAGTCTTCTTTTGTAACTTCCCAAAGCATAGCCAACTGAATTGATTGTATTAACAAAATTTTATCAAATGTTTAAGAATAACTAAAATAGGGTGAAAAAATCACACTGTTGATTCAAATTATTTATGGGACCACCCTAAGATCTTCAGTTCTTGCTTTCTTATTCTCATGTAGAAAATACTTTCAAAGAAACATTCAAAATAATATTTGGCCGAGTATCTGGGTATCATGGTCTAGTCATGTTGACGTGGCTTAATATAAAACTATCACAAGAAATAGAATTCTTTCAATTCATTTTATACCTCTAACGTGGCTTCAACATCTAAAACAGATAAAGAAGCTTGGCATGGTGGCACACACATATAATCTCAGCATTTTGGAGGCTATGACAGAAGATCTGGAGTCAGAGGCCAGGCTGCACTAGATAGCAAGATCAAGGCTAACCTGAGCTTCATAGTGAGATCCTTTTCCTACCCTCCCACCCTGAAAAAAAAAAATCAGTCAATGCAATACATCACCATAACAAACTAAAGATGAAAAATCAAATAGCCTTCTCATGGGGTTCAGAGAAAATAAATATGGCAAAACTCTAAATCCCCCCCCCCCCCGCCACAATTAAAAACTAATTAAGTCAAATCTAACTTACTTCTTATTGAGAACTTATTCTCAGACTGGGGTTGTAGTTTGGTAGTGGAGCACTTGCCTATCATTCACAGAACCTCTGCTTGATCCCTGGAGCTGCCAAAAGAAGAAAAAAGAACTGGCTTAGCAGGACTTGCTTGTCACACACTCCATGAGGACAGACCGAGTGTTTTCTCACTGCGATTGGGAACAAAGCGAGGCTGTGCGGTTTCAACAGTCTTCTTCAGCAAAGTGCTGGAAGTCACAGCTAGAGCAAGGAGGCAACCAGAGGAAGTGAAACGGTCAGATAGGGAGGGAGAAACAAAAACTCTCCCTATCTGACCGTGTGCCAAAAAACTCCCTAGGAGTTCTAAGTGAATTCAGCAAGTTCTCGGAATCTAAGATTAAAAACAACACAAAACCGAATGACGTAGAGTAGCAATGAGTCTGTAATGAAGAAAAGGTATAGATCATTACAGTCGTGGTTTTTATGAAACATTCTTGGGTGTGAATCTAACAAAACGTGCAGCACCTTAATGCTGAAAATCCAAGAGTGCAAATAAAAAAGGGAATAGTTAATGAAGGGATGGACATACTGTGTGGTGGGGTCAGAAAATTCAACATGAAGAAATTATTCTCCCAAACTAATGCACAGACTCAGCATTATTCTGATCAAATTCCAGAAAAATGATTATGATACATTTAAATCACAACCCTAAATTGATGTGAAAAGGAATATTAACTAGAATACAAGGTAACTTGGAAATACCTAAATTAAAAGTAGCCAAGAAATTTTCAAAGTAAGTGGTGAGCACCAAATTACAGATTTGCAAAGAATAAGACCAAAATGAATGCAAAATACCCTCACAGAGTTATTCATATTATAGTCAATCTGAAAAGAAATAGACACAAAAAGAAATTCTTGAGTAAAGACAAAAGATAAAACACCATTATCTATAGAGGAACAAAGACACAAATTACATTGTATTTATCATCAGAAACAATTCAAAGAAATGAGCAAGAGAAATTCCTACATTATTGAATTAAAAGGAACTACCAATCTAGAATTCTCTATCAACAAAGCCAATTTTCAAACGTGACTGAGGAATAACAACTTGTAAGCTGAGCAGTGTCGCATGGTAGCTATTGCCTGTAGTGCCAGAACTTGGATAGTGCAGGCAGGAGGGTGAAGAGTTCAAGGCCAGCCTTTGCTACATAGTGACTTCAAGGATAGTCTTGGCTACATGAAATCCTGTCTCAAGAAAAAGAAAGAAATACTTTTTTCCCCAGAAAAGCAGAACCATAACAATAGGACAGATTAGTGACTGTGTAGTACAAGGGCTATAGAAGATTCAGGATGTGGCTATAAATGGCATGAAGTTCCTTGTGATGGGAGCATTCAGCATCCTGGTGGTACCCTGGTTGTGATATTAGACTATACTTTTCTAATCTGTTATCATTGAAGAAAACTTAGTAAAGAGCACATAGGATCTCTCATAACTGCAATATTGAAATGTTATGGTATCTCCTAGAACTAAATGTGAGTCTACACTTATCTAAAATACCAAGTTCAATCAATATAAAACTCAACTTCTTTTATCATCATCCTCTTCCTCCTCCCCCTTCCTCTCCCTCCTCTCCCCTTCTTCCTTCTCATTCTCCCTCTGCTAATGTTCCTCTTCCTTCTTTTCTTCCTCCTCCTCATCTTCTCACCTCCACAAGCAACTGTTTCTTTCTATCCTTAGCCTACAGTTGATGATGCTAATGAGTCTGACAGCAATTGGCAACAGGTATCCATTCCCACGTCAGGTTCACACCAGCCTACTGCTCCAGGTGTGTGTTATCCAGTCTGATACTGAACAGAGACCAAATGTTTTTTTCCCCTACGGCTCCATAGAGAATCCAAATCTTGGCCTTGCTCTCACATAGCACTCTGACATCCATTTGCTAACAGGTAGCCCTAACTCTTTCTCTAGGATAGAATCCCTCCCTCTTGCTTTGTCCATAAGTGAGTATCTCCGAGACTTGCCTCAGCTCACATCAATGGCTTGTCCTGGAGGCTCACAGAACCTGCATGACTCGGCACACAAACTGGCGTTCTTGGGCAACGGAGAACACTCTCTCTAGCTCTCTGCTGTTTTGCCCTACCGGGCCTCTGGTTCTCTTCCGTATCTGCAGCCTTCTACATCACGATGCCTCTGGAAAGAAGCCATTCCTGAAGACTTCCCTCCTGTGCTCCAACCCTCGCTTGCGAGTTTCAGTCTGTTTTCCACGGTGGCTTTTACTGGGATGTTCCCAGCTGAACTGAAAGTTTTGAACTTCAGATCCTGTTTCCGCTGTCTTGTGATTCTGACTCCACTGCTCACTCAGGGCAGTGCGCAACTCTTACACCTAAGTTATCCTGCTGAAGGCCATCTCTGGGGATGAGCAAGTGAGGATCCAAAGAGCCTGCAAAGCAAGACAAGCTGCTGACATCAGTACCTGAGGGATGGGGCAGGCCTGCTATGCAGTTTCCTGTGTCTTAGGAAGGATGCATAGGGAAATGCTTCGGTGACACCCTTCCTCCCCCAACACACAGTGCTTTGACCACACAGGGCTTCCCCTGACCATGCTGCCTACAGCTTGAAGTCCACATTAGCACAAACCTGCTTGTCCCTAAGATGCAAGAATCTCCTTGAAGCCTGGTGTGGTGGCCTATACCTGTAACCCATTGCCAGTGACACTAGTGAGTCTGATAGAAAGTAAGGTACTCCGCAGGAGACCCTGCTCTCACCCAGATACCAATAATAATAATAATAATAATAATAATAATAATAATAATAAGTAATAACAATAATGAAAAAGAACTCTTTCAAATAATAGGAACAATGTAAGTTATGGAGAAAACAGAGCCCTACAATCACCAAGCTGCTCTGGGTATGATATCATTGTCTATGGTATCTAGATTTGTTTTGTGGAGCTTGAACCCAGGTACCTGAGCTTGCCAGGCAACAACTCTACCACCAAGCTGTTTCCCAAGCCCATAGTTCAGCGTAGGTGGATGTTTCCTGTCCCAACCACCTGTTCCAAGTATAACCAGCAGCCACTTCCCAAATAACTGACTTGGAGACTTAATATAAATTATAAATGATTGGTCAGTAGCTCAGGCTTGTTACTACATAACCCTTACATTTAACCCACATTTCTTATCTACGCTTTGCCAAGTGACTTGATACCTTTTCTCAGTACGGCATGCCCATCTTGCTCTCTCTGCATCTGTCAGCAGATCTTTCACTACGCCCTTCTTCATCCCTGTATCCTTGGTTTGATGGTCCCACCAACTTCATCCTGCCTTGCTATAGGCCAATCCTCTTCTTTATTAACCAATGAGAGTAATACATATTTATAGTGTACAGAAGGATTATTCCACAACAATTCAGCACACTTAAAAATACTAAGGGCTGAGAGTACAGTTCACTGACAGAATGCTTGCCTGCCATATGCAGGGGCTATAGGTTGGATCCCTGTGTTGATGCTCAGAGCTGCCACCAACACAACAGAAAAGTATCTTTAAAGGTTTGTATTTTACAATGATATCCTAACACTGAACTCTGAATGCTACAATACTGACTTGCCAGGGAAGATGGCCACTGGTGCCCACTGGGGCCCTAGGGGCATGACAGGAAATGCTGGTAACTGACCCCTTTCTGATAGAGAACCTAGTCAGAAGGCCACAGTTCTGGAAGTCACAGGCCTTGGAGTTGGGGGTGGGAGCCTCCTGGAGTTTTTTTTTTTTTTTTTTTTTTTTTTGCTTGTTTGTTTTTGTTTCGTTTTGTGTTTTACTAAGTGGATACACTGTCAAATTACTTTCTAAGTATTTAAATTCATGCCCGTAGACTAATGCTGTTCTCAATCTCGGGCACAGAACCCGATTTCTGCAGCAGACGTGAGTTAATGCAGAGACTGATCAAAGGGCTGAGAAGGACAGATTGCTACACAGTCCTAAATGAGACATCTGTATCATAATACACGCATGCGCACACACACACACCAAAAAAGCTCAGAGAGCAGCATAGAAGAGAACAGAAGAACGTAAGAGCTGAGGGATGTAGAGGAACATTGTGAAACTCTGTCTGCTGAGCATGCCATGGCCATCACACTCGGAACTTCCTGCAGCTACGTTTACCTGCACAAGATCAAGCCAACAAGACCAGAGAACATTCCAGCAGGTAGCACTAACTTGACTCAGTTTTGTTACCAATAACAACAAAAATGAGGGGACATGAAGGCGGGTTGCATCAGGGAGCTGACTGGATAGGGTCAAAATATATTGTATATGTGTATGAAGCTGCCAAAGTAGAAATAAAAGATATTTTCTTAAAAAAAAAATACTCATGAGTGTTTTCATGTTGCTTAAGGAAAAAAAAAAAGAAGGAAGCACATTCAAGAAAGAAAGAAGCAGAAAGTAAATTCTGAACAGAAACTCTGAGGGGCATGAACCATTTCTCACCCTTTATCTGAGTTTTATCTGCACAGCAAATCTTTCCGTTTCCCCTCGACTGTGCTGTCATCCGACTTCCTAATATCACTCACAGCCCGGGATCTGATTGCTTGTGGCTCCTTTGTAATGTCCTCTAGTATAAACACAAAGGTCCTTTTCAGCAACACAGGTCATATACTTGTTTGGTTCTAGCCGGCTGCTTAGTAAGTCACCTCACATCCTGGTGCACAGGGTACTAGAGATAATTAACGTTGTGAATTCCCTTATAAAAATCCAAGCCAAGGTAGCCTTGGTCAAAGATTCCCAACACAAGAAAACCCTTTGTGTGAACAGGAAACTGATTTGCGTACTTACTGTTAACTAGACAAACAACTCGCAAGTGAATTACATTTGTCATCTTGGCAGCCCTGTTCATATAAAGAGGCTTAACTGGAAGATTAAGACAAATTCTATCTGAAAATATTGCGCTGTAAAACCATACACCTGCTGGAGTTCAAAGCAGAGCGGTTCTGTTACAGGCTGTGCAAGCATCAGGAAAATTTTACGTGATCACAAGCCTGGAAATCGAAGGCAAAGCCCCCGCTCCCAGACCCAGGTTGTCTGAGCTCTCAAAATAAAACGGAAAGTTACGCTGATCTGCTGCCTGGAGGAAGCCCAGCTAGACTGATGGGGCTGAGCTGCAGAACACTGAAACCTGCTAAAAAGTGCTGTGGGGGAAGGGAACCAATGACCTCCCAAAGTCAAGGAATACATGAAGCCCGACAGAACTTTTCTAATTCCAGAGACAATGAAT